GCGGGGCGGCGAGGAGTGGAATCTGGACGCGACCCGGCGGGGCGCGCAGGGAAGGGGCTCCCGGGCTCGACCCTGTCCTCTGGGTGGAGTGGCGCTCTCAGGCCGCTGGGCTCGTAGTGGCAGCGCGGGGTCACCCACAGAAGATGAAGACCGCAGAGGGCGCCCGGCTGCAGGCAGAGGCCGGCCTGTGGGAGGAGCTGGAGAGCCGCTGGCAGAAGCTCCAGGAGCGAAACGAGGAGCACCTGCTGGCACTGCGCGGGCAGCGCGAGGTCGGGGCCGGCTGGGGTTTGGAGGGGCGGGGGTGCCGGGCTGGGTGCAGGCTTGGGGCGGGCAAAGGCCAGGTGAGGTGTGAGTGAGGTTGAGGCAGGGTGCGTGCAGGGCCGGGTGGGTCTGCGTGCAGGCCCGAGGTGCAGGCCTGGTCCAGGTGCAGGCCGGTCTCAGGGCGGCTCTGCACAGCAGGAGGACGAGTCCTACCTCCTGGAGCAGTGTCGGGGCCTGGACCAGGCCGTGAAGCAGCTGACCAAGTTCGTTCGGCAGCACCAGGTGTCCCTGAATCACATCTTGCAGGCCCGGTGGGTGTGCAAACAGGGTCAGGAAAGGGAACCCGGGAAGGGACCACAGAGGGGATGGCTCTGCCCTCCCCACCCCTACTGGCAGCCTTAGCAGAGGATGAGGCCCAGCGGGACAGTTCGCAGGGGTAGAGGGGCCGCCTGTGTGGTGCCTGCCCTCGCCCTGGAGGTTCCCTGAGCAGAGCCTCCCCAGCTGTCCTGGAAGCTCAGGGCCCAGCGTCAGGCTCCCCTCCCTGCCCCAATGCTGAGGGGCAGTCATCTCGATGGCCCTGACCCCAGGGATGCCAAGGGGCACGTGGAGAAGAGCCAGACCGGGGAGCTGACCACCTACCTGCAGGAGAACCTGGAGGCTGTGCGGCTGGCCGGTGAGCTGGCCCAGCAGGAGGCACACAGTGCACTGGAGCTGGTGAGCACAGGGGGGCTTGGGGTGGCAGAGGGCGGCAGTCTGCAGGCCCTCTCCCTGCACACGCGCAGGCACGGCCCTCCGCAGGGCTTTTCTGCTCCCTGCTCACGCGCAGGCAGGGCCTTTCTGCTCCCTGCACATGCGCAGGCACAGCCCTCAGCAGGGCCTTTCTGCTCCCCTCTGCCGCCCACAGCTCCGCGAGAAGAGTCAGACCCTGGAGGCGTCTGCCGCGGAGCTGGCCAGGCAGGTGAAGGACCTGGGTGAGCACTTTGTGGCCCTGAGCTGGAGGCTGGAGCTGCACAAGCAGACGCTGAGCCTGCAGCTGTCCGAGGCAAGCACCAGGCAGACCGTGAGGGGAAGAAGGCCACTCCCAAAAGATGGGGACCCCTGAGGGTGACCTGAGCCTCCCACACACACACTGCAATTGCCCTGAAGACCTCTTGCGCGGCTACTCTGCCTGATAACCCCTTGCCCCAGGGTCAGCTCCTGAGGCCAGAGGGCCTGGTGATAGTCTGAGGCCTGTGACAGTTGGAAGGGCGGACAATCTGGAAGCTCCGTGGAGCAGCTTGCCCTTTGGTTCTTTCTGTTTGAACAGCCTTACTGAGATATAACATACCACACAGTTCACCCATTTAAAGTGCATAATCCAGGGATTTCTAGTATATTTACAGAAACGTGCAACCATCATCACAGTCAATATTAGAACATTTCCATCCCCTTAAAAGGAAGTCCCACGCCCTTTAGTGGTCACGCTCATTCCAACTTCCCCCAACCCCTAGGCAACCACTAATTTGCTTTCTCTCGCTATGCATTTACCTGTTTGTAGATATTTCGTGTAAGTGGAATCCCACAGCAGTTGTTGTTCTGTGTCTGATTGTTGTACTCAGCCCTGTGTGTTCAAGGTTCGTCCGTGTGGTGGCATGTAACAGGACTTCATTTCTCTTTATGGCTGAGTAACAGTCCTTTGTATGGATGAACCACGGTGTGTTGATCCATTCATTTGCTGGTGGACACTTGGATTGTTCCCCCTTTTGGCCGTTGTGAATAGTACTGCTATGAATGATCCCACCCAGGCCTGCCCTGCGGTCACCCTGGGCGGGTGTGTGGTTAGAACAGCCCCTGACACAGCCTATTGGCCCAGCCAGCCATCTTCTCTCTCCCATGGGTGTGGACAGCTGCCTGTCCTCCTCCGGTGCTCTGCCGACTCGGTGGGCAGCAGGGGTTGTGTGGAGGGGCTGCGTGGAGGGGCTGCACAGGCCGCCTCCTCAAGCACACAGCCCAGTCTCCGTGAGTGTGCCAGCCTGGTCACCCTGGACTGCATGCATGTCTGCGTGTCTGTGTGTCTGTGCACATGCCTAGAGACAGGTGGGTGCCAGCGGTGCCTGCCCCAGGTGCTCTCTGCCCGGGGTGTGAACTTCTGGGTCCCACAGACCCACCTCCTGGGGCCCCCATGTCCTCCACTGGAGGGGCCCCTCCGCCCATCCATCTGTCCTCCCTCTGGGGTTTGGCCCCTCACTGGGGTGTGCGTGTCCCAGGTGAAGAGTGAGTGGGAAGGTGCAGAGAGGAAGTCTCTGGAAGACTTGGCCCGGTGGCGGCAGGAGGCCGAGGCGTACCTGAGGGAGGTGCGTGAGAAGGTGGACAGCCTCCCCCGGCAGGTGGGTGCCGGATGGAGCACAGACGTCCCTGTCCTTGTCCTCCCCCGTGCCTGTGCCACGGCTGGCCTCAGGCAGCAGCCTGACCTGGCCCTCCCCTCCCTCCCTCCTCCCCCTTCCCTGCCTCCCTCCTCTCTCCCACCCTCCCTCCTCCCCTCCCCTCTTCTGCCACCTCTTCTCCTGTCTCTACTACCCAGCTGTTGCCTGCTGGCAGGGTGGGAGTGGGGGGTGCCTTGGTGGCCGGATACGGGGTGTCTTCTCCGGGCTGCCCGATCCTGACCCTGACCCTGACCCCGGCCTGGCCCGGGCTCAGATAGAAGGTGTCTCTGACAAGTGCATCGTGCACAAGAGCGACCTGGACCTGAAAATCACCGCTGAGGGCAAAGCCAGGTGAGGGCTGGCAGCGGAGGCACCCCGTCCAGGAGAGCGGGCTCTGTCCCCCTGCCACATGCCGTCACCTGTCCACAAGGCTCGTGAGAGGGCGGGGTGGCTTCACTGCCCGGGCTCAAGCCCCTCCCACTGCAGTTGCACGTGTCCTTTGCCAAGGCACCAGGACCCTCCCCTGGGGGCTGGGCAAGAAGCCCCCATGTCTCCATGGAAGAGAGCTCCGGCTGAACTGTCCCCACACTCTGCCACGTCCCCTCAGCCTGGGTCCCCGCCCATTGCCGGCCTCCCCCTGCCCTCCTCCCTCCACCTGCCCCGCCTGGCCACCAGGCTGCCACTACTGACCGCAGCCCTCCATGCCCACAGGGAGTTTCAGGTGGAGGCGGTACGGCAGGAGCTGGCTGTCCTGCTGTCATCCGTGCAGCTGCTCAAGGAGGACCACCCCGGGCGGAAGGTGGCCGAGATCCAGGGCAAGCTGGCCACGGTACCCCGGGCGGCCCCGGGGTGTGGCGTGGTGGGGGCCAGGGCGGCAGAGCTGGGGGTGGTCAGGTTGTGAGGGTGAGGGGCCGTGCAGCACTCTCCGCCCCCAGACGGAGGCCCCCAGGCACAGCCTTAGATTCAGGACAGCCAGCCCAGGGGGTGTTGTCCCTCTGGGTGACCGGGTGTGTCAGCCTCAGGGGCCCTCGAGGGACCCGGGGCAGCCTCCCTATGACGACAGGGATGCCCCGAGTCCTTGGCGGGCCCACCCAGGGCCCTCTGTCTCCCTGCCCCATCTTGTGGTCGGGAGAACGTGAAGAGGATGGAGGGCCCCGGGTGGGTGGAGGGGCCTGCTTGGGGCCGGCATGGCCCACCCGTGCCCGCCCACGACCGCGGGACGTGTTCAGCTCCAGACCCAGATCATGAAGTTAGAAAACAGCCTCCAGGACAACAAGACCATCCAGAACCTCAAGTTTAATACGGAGACCAAGCTGGTGAGCAGCGGCCGGCTGGGTCGGTGGGCGGGGCGGGCTGGCCTCCTCCGCTCCGCCCACCCGCCGCCCCCATCGCGCGCTGTCTGTCTGTCTGCGTGTCTCGGGGGCTCGGCGTCTCCCGGCAGAGAAGGATCTCCTGGCCGGTGTTGCCCGGGGAAAGATAAGCCCCGTTTGCTGTCTGACTCCGGCATTCTTTGGTGGCCCCATCCCCCTCCGCCCCTCGCGGCCCCCGGCCCCCGGCCCGCGGCCCCCAGTGACGTCTGTGTCCCATCAGCGGGTGGAGGAGATCGCCACGCTGCGGGAGAGCCTGATGCGGCTGTGGAGTGAGGAGGGCCCGTGGGCACTGAGGCCGGGCAGCCGCAGGGTGCTCATGTCCCTAGTGCGCCAGCGCTTCTTCGTCAAGGACGCCGCCCCCACCGGCGAGGTGGCCTCCGTGAACCAATGGGGCGTGTACCAGGCCGCCAGGTGGGCTGGGGGCTGGCCTGGGCGGGGCGGGCGTGGGTCCAGGGACGCTCCCCGAGCTGCTCTCTGGCAGGTGGCTGCAGTGGAAGGCGGTGCTCATGAGCCTGGTGCCCCCGCGGAGGCCGCGCGCAGCCCCCGAGAAGTCCTGCGGGCCCGAGCCCACCGCGAGCCTCCTCTCTCTGTCCTTTCCCCAGAAATAAATGAGCTGGTATGTCAGGCCGCTCAGCGACCCCACGTCTCCTGCCTGGACCCTGGCGACACTCTCCGGGATGTGGAGCTAGCCAGGGGGAGGGGGCAAGAGGCCAGCTGGTGGTGGTGACCAAGGCCTTCCCAGCGGCCCAGCCCCAGGGACTCCGGAGGCCGGTGGGGCCCCGCCTGGGGGCCTCCCGGGGCGAGCTGAGGAGCCCAGTCTTCTGACCCCCAAAGCCCACGGTCCTGACCGATCCCCAGCCAGGCACCCCGCGGTGGGCCAGGCCGGCTCAGTGAGGCCCCTTCTTGCTCCCTTGCGGAGGGTGTAGGGGTCTCAGGTGGGAGGGAGAAGCTGGGTGAGGGGGCTGCAGGCCAGTGGGCGGGGCCTGCCGGGCCCTTGACGGTGCAGGAAGTGGGCTTCTCCAGGGCTAATCTGGGCCATAAACACTGCTGTTTGCTCTGCAGTCAGGGCCGGGGTCCTCTCTTCCTGCCTCTCCAGGAAAACCCTGGCCCATCCCACAGCCCTGCCGCCTGCTGGCGCCGAGAGGTGGGGGCTCGAACCCTGCTAAGGACCCCTCCGGCTGGGAACCCGCAGCAGCCTCTCCTGGCCATAGGGGCCCCGGGGTGGGTGGGCAGTGACAGGAGCAGCCCTTGTGCTGGCCTCAGGTCTCGGTGGTTCTGGATGACAACGGTCGCAGCCCGGAAGGGACGCAGTGTGCACACCCCCTGCGCCACAGCCTCCCAAGGGCTGCAGCCCCTGCTGGGTCCCCTTCCTGTGGGCAGAGCTCCGAGGGACCAGGGTGGGGATGGAAGGTGGCCACCAGCTCCTGCCACATTCTCGGCCTTCAGGGCCCAGGATGAGCCCAGCCCCTTCTCCTGCGGCCTGCTGGGGGCTCCGGGGCTTCTTCCCAGGGGGTCAATAGGAGCCTCTGTGTCCTCAGCCCACTGGCTAGGCCTCAGCCAGCGGCACCCCCTCCAGAGCCTGGCTGTCGGCCCCCGGGCCCGGCAGCTCTGGGCCAGCCTCGGCCGTCCAGTTGGCCAGCAGGTCACTGAAGTCGGGGGTACTGGGGTGCAGCAGGCCCAGGGGGCTTGGCGCTGGCTCCCTCCAGAAGGACGGAGGCAGCTGCCTCTGGGTCATGGGCGTGATGTGGCCATACTTGCGCTGCAGCCTCAGGCCGTGGCCCCCGCCCGGCCCCGCACACCGCCCCAAACCGTACTCGAAGAGCTCGGCCAGCGGCCCCAGCGCTGGGGGCTCTGCGGTATCGGGGGGCTCGTTGTCGGGGGCCCCACCCCGGGCCTCCTGCACCAGGTCATTGTAGTAGCGCTCCCTGGCGGACCTGCCCGCCCCGCGGCCCTCCCTGTAGATGTCTCTGGTGTCGGGGTCCTGCCCCTGGTCCTTGCGGCCGAAGTACCTCTGGATGTCCCCGCTGATGAGCTCGGAGAAGCGTAGCAGCCGCCGCGCTGTCTCGGGGCTGCTTGGACCTGTGAGGGCGGACGTGGGCGTCCCGCCTGCACTCCAGGGTGCTGGGCTGCAGGCCCCTGGCCCCTCACCCTCCAGCACCTCCTCCTCGTCCTCCTCCTCTTCCTCCTCTGAGGTCTCCGGGGGCTCCGGCTCCGAGGGCGGGAAGGGCTGGTGGAAAGGCAGGGGCAGCTGGAAGTCACACAGGGGCTGGGCCACCCTGGCTGCCATCTCCTCGCCGTCCTGGGGCTGCGGGGACTTGGGGGGGCAGGTGGAGAGAGGGGCAGGTGAGCAGTCTGTGTGGACTCAGCCCCTGACAGGCCTGCCTCAGAGCCCACACAGACGATTCCTCCCCTCCCGCAGTCAGCTACCCACCCTCCCTGGGGAAGGGCCACAGAAGGCTGGGGTGGCCGCTCTGGAGGGCTGGGCACTGTGGGGCAGGAGGGGCAAGAGTGCAGTCCGGATAGGTCCATGGGGGGAGGGCGGGTGGACCGTCAGAATCGTCATGGGGGAAAGAATTAGTGGGTCTTGAGGAGGCCCTGTGGTGATGGAGCAAGCAGAGGGGCCAGAGAGAGGTCACAGGGACTCAGGCCTGCCCCATCTGGGTGCTTGGGGTGGGGAGAGACCCAGGGTCTGGGGTGCAGGGGTTTGGGGGCCCAGCTGAGTGGAGCCCCCAGCCCGGGTTGTGGTTGCAGTGGTGTCAGAACGGGCCTTGGCGGCTCTTTGACAGTCAGACTTGTGTCTGCTGGGGCTGGGCGGAGCAGCCAGGGCCCAGGGAGACTCGCCTGGCCTGGGCTGGGAAGGCTCAGCACCCCGAGAGGGAGGGTGGGCTGGCCTGCCCGAGGTGCCCGTCCTCCTGCCTCGTCTAAGTCTAGTGCAGGCATACCAAGACTTTAATTTGTCCCCTTCCGTGGTACCAGAGGTGTGAGAGAGGACCCTGTCAGCGTCCCCAGCCCAGAGGGGTCACCAGGAGGGAGGAAAGGAGGGAGTGGGGGCCCCAGGGCTGGGAAGGGCTGAGGAAGGCGACTGGGCTAGGTCTTGGGCAGGACCAGGGGAGTTCCGAGGGCGCCTGCGGGATGAGGGGCCTCCTCCTGGCCTGCAGCCACACTGGGGCTGACTCTGAATCCCCGAAGGCTCGTTACCCCCAGGGAAAGTTGCCGGTGGCCCTGTAGCTGAACTTTGAGGATGGCCATTCTCAAAGAGCAAGACTTAGGTGCCCGTCCCCTCCCCTGACTTTGCCCCATGGCCTGCCTCGTTGGGCCCCTGCCCTTCCCAGTCCTGGGCTGTGGTGGCCTGGGTATGAGCTGTCCCCGTAGACCAGGCCCCCTCCCCCAGGCAGAAGGGTACACAGCCTTGCGGGGAGGGGAAAGGAGGCCAGACCCCCACACCCCCAGCAGTGTGACGGACCCCAGGAGCCCCAGGAGAGACCTGGGCCCACCCTGCTGACACCCACCTGCCTCTTACCTGGCCGAAGCTCTCGCTGGGCAGGCCGCCTCCACCTGGAGGGCTCAAGCATTTATAGCCGGGCTGCAGCGGCCGGCCGGCCCGGGCTGGCAAATATTTGGCGGTGGCGGCATTGTAATCGCAGGCTGGGCAAACAGAGCCGTTTGCTTTAGCGCCCCGGCAACCAGGGCTCTGCGGGGGGGCGTGCTCGGAGGAGCCTCACCTGGTCGCCGCCTGCCCGGGGATCCTGGAGTGTTTGCTGCGGGCCCAGCTGGCTCCTGCCTTGGGCCCCAGGGCCCTTATCTCCTCAGTGATCGGGGCCCGACCCGGTCGTGTCAAATAGGCGGAAAATTAAATTTCATGCTATTTTGACTTCTGGAGTAGCCTTCTCCAGAAAGCATCGTGCTCCCCGTGTGCTGGATAAACGGGCTGCGGCCCAGGTGAGGGGGAGGCCGTGGGGACCACCACAGCCCCAGCAGTCCCAGTTTTTCCAGCTGCCGTGGAGTCACCCCAACTCATGGCAACCCCACACGTGTCAGAGTAGAACTGTGCTCCACAGGGTTTTCAGTGGCTGAGTTTTTGGAGGTAGATCACCAGGCCTTTCTTTCAAGTCGCCTCTGGGTGGACTCGAACCTCCACCCTTTCAGTTAGCAGCTGAGCACATCAACGGTCTGCACCACCCAGGGACTCTGCCGGCCGCAGCCCCCGCCTCCCAGGAGGGCTGGTGCAGGCGGTCAGTGCTTGGAGGCTGTGGAACGGACTTCCGACTTTGGAGTGGGACAGGGAAGTGAACACTTCAACCCCAAGCCCAGCCTCTCAGGCCAGGCTGGTGACCTGCTGTGAGCAGTCTGCCGAGCTGTGGACACTGCATGATGTTATGGCCTTGTGCTGGGCGGGAGAGGGGCAGCATGGGCCAGGGGTACCTGCGGGCCCTGGGGGAGGCTGGAGTGAGGGGGTGACCACACTGAGGGCCCGGGACAGCCTTGTGTCAGCCTCAGACACGACAGATGGTGGCGGCTGGCTGGCCTTGGCCCTGGGGCTGGCCTCAGGCTTGGCCACAGGCCTGCCCTGAGACTCCAGCCCCATGACAAGTGTCCAGGTCCTGGCCATGGACGGCCCTGCCCTAGCCAGGCCGCCTCTCCTCTGACAGCAGGCCCGCAGTTAGCCAAGACCTGGGAGGGCGCTGTGGGTGGGAGCCAGCTGTCCTGGTGGCCGCTTGACAGCAGCACCCTCTGCTGCTCAGCGCAGGAAGGATGGCCTTGGGTGGGGAGGGATGGGGACTGGACTCCTGCGGGCCCTGGGATCCCAGGGAGGAAGGCAGGGACCTCCACCCTGCTGGGCTCTTCACACGGGTGGACAGGTGGGCACCTGAGTGGGCTGTGGTCAGGGGTGGAGATTGGAGGAGGCACTGGACTCTGCCCACAGGGTCTGGAGGTGCAAGGGGTGCACAGTGAGGCCAGGGTGTCCAGGCCTCTCGACGCAACCCCCCTTGTGAAAGAAAATGCCAGGGGAGGGGACAGCCTGAAGGAGACCCAGGCCCACAAGGAGCTCTGGGGCTGGGGAGCTGTAAGCCTGTGTGTGGTGGTCTGGGTAATGCCCCCAGAAACATCCACACCCTAGTCCCTGGAACCTGGGACTCTGTGACCTCACATGGCAAAGGGGACCTGGAGGTGGGATTCAGGTTAAGGACCCTGAGGTGGGAGATGGTCCTGGATTATCCGGGTGGCCCCGTGTGATCATGAGGGTCTGAGACAGAGACTGGAAGATGCTGTGCTGCTGGCTTGGAAGATGGAGGAGGGGGCCATGAGCCAAGGAATGGGGGTGGCCTCTAGAAGCTGGAAAAGGCCAGGAGACCCATGTCAGACTTCTGGCCTCCAGACTGTAAGACACTTGAGTGTGTGTTGCTTTAAGCCACGCAGGGTGTGGGGACAGGGAGGGAGGGGGACACAGAGGGGGAGCAGGGTAAGGGCTGCCACGCCCGACCTCACGCGGGCATGGATGAAGTTGGGACTTTCCTCCCCAGCACATGAAGTGGGACCATCTGGGCACCGGGCTTTTCCCTCCTTGATGGAAAAAAAAAAAAAACACCCCAGTGTGAAGACAGCAGGGGACTAGGGGGAAGCAGGTGACAGTGACCCACTCCTGGGGGCCCTGCACCCCCTCCAGGCCCTTGTCTTTGCACTGAGACACACGTGCACACACCTCTTCCTGCCTGGCCCCTGCCCCAAGTCCCTGTCTGCAGGGCTGGGGCCCTAGGTGGGGCTTTGGGTCCTGCTGGTGGCCCAGGGTGGACATGCCCACCCATGCGAGCTTCAGTGAGAACAGTCCACAGACAGCCAGGCCTCCTCCCGCCTCTCCTGGCGTAGCCCTAACTCTCCTCTACCGGCCCAGAGACCGAGGAGGAAGGCCCAGACAGGAACCAAGAATTTAGGCGTGGGGAGAAACAGAGCAGATGGGCGCCGGGGAGGAGGGCCTTGGGCCGCAAGGCGCGGGCCGGTCTCGGTGAGGCTGGGCAACTGGGAGGTGTCACTGCACCTGTCTGGCTGAGTGACAACAGGGCCCAGCAGGTGGGGGCCGAAGGCCGGGGACAGACTTGAAGCCCAGGGCTTGGGGGTCAGTGAGTTTGCCCTCTGGCACCGCTGCTGGAGCAAGTTCAGGACGGGCCAGAGTCCAGCGGTGGAGGCTGAGATCTGGCGTTTGTTACTGGGAAGGCTGGGTTGGCAACGCCTGCCTGTCCAGCCTGGTGTTGGGCCGGTGCCCTGGACCGCTGCAGTAGGACTGAGGGCCAGGCTTCTAGGCTTGGGGACCAAGCGTATGTCCCTCTTCTGCTCGCAGCTGCCTCTGGCTGTGGGCTGCGCCAGGCCCGCCCCACCCCACCAGCCCCCACCCCAGTGTCAGGCCTCCACCTCCGGGAAGCAGGGCTCTGGCCCTGGTAAAGAAGGTGGCCCTGCTTGTCCCCACGCACCACATATTGATTTTCCTGGGGAAAATCAATAGCTCCAATATGTCAGCTCTCGAGAGGCGCTACAATAAATTACCCCCGCCATTAAGCACACAAGGACTGCCGCTGCGTCCCCATTAGAGGGACATTAGTCCTCCCTCGAAATTTCTCTGTGTGCTCTGAGATAGTGGAGGCTGAGGTGTTGGTTTATGCCCCGGGCGTGGGCGGGGAGGAGGGGCCCAGACTAGAGCAGGCCGCCCAAGGGTCACTGAGGCACCTGTCACCTTCCCACGCTCGCTGGGGTCAGGAGGGGAGGGCCAGGACCCACGGGAGGCCCGGGGACCATCCGGCTGTGGCCTTTCCCACTCCGAGGGACAAGTAACTAATAGCCCTCTCATCATGGACGTTGCTGCAAGAGGGGGTGATGTTGTGTGCTGTCAGTGGATTTATAGTGACTCCATGCGAGAGAACTGCCCCATAGGGTTTTCTAGGCTGTAATCTTTACCGAGGGAGAAAGATGTGGCAGTCTGCTTCTGTAAAGACGATAGCCTTGGAAACCCTATGGGGCAGTTCTACTCTGCCCTATGAGGTCACTAGGAGTCGCAATCGACTCAATGGCGGTGGATTTTTTGGAATCTTCACGGAGCCGGTCTCCAGGTGTTTCTCCCGCAGAGCCGCTGGGTGGGTTCAGTCTGCCAACCTTCAGGTTAAGAGCCCAGCGCTTAACTGTTGGGCCACCAGGGCTCCTTACAGGGTATGATAGGGATTTACCTGGGTCGCGGCTCCGGAGCATGCTGGGGGCGGGACTACGGAGGTGGCTCTGCTCTGGATTGGTGCAGCCAGGGAGCGGGTCAGTCGCTGATTGGGCATTGTAAGGATTCTTATCTAGAGGTCGGGGCCCTGGAGCAAGGCCACGGCGGTGATTGGTCCAGCAAAGCTGTCACTCACAATGGCCAGGGTAGCATGTGGAGGGGAGGGGTGTCGGATCGCCCTGTGGTTGGACACTGTCCGCACCTTCTCCCATGTTCAGACAGGATCGCAGAGCGGTCCTGTGTTGTCTGAGCCACAAGCACAGTGGCCTGGTCTGACCCTGCTGCTCGCAGGAGACCGCGGGCCGGCGCCCAATATAGGGCTGCAGGACTGAAGTCCTACAAACGAAAGCCACGCAGCAGGAGAACTCGGGGGCAGGGGACCCAAGCAGACATGTAGATACGTTCCTCGCTGCGGGCTCCGACGTCGGGCAGCCCCCTCAGGAACCCGGTGGCGACGAGGGTGCCGTCCACCGGCTCAGGATGCCCGCACTACCCTGTTAGCTGTCAGTCTTGACAGCTGTCCTGGGACGCAGCCCTGGCACCAGCTGAGGGCGTCCTAGGCACAGTCCATCCTCCCGACAGCCCGTGAGACACGTTAGGGCCCATTTGACAGATGAGAAAGCTGAGGCTGGAGAGATCCAAAGCTGTCTTGTTTCTGTAAAGCTTCTGGGGTAGACAGGCTGAGATGGCTCAGTGGCCTCTCGGGGCTGCCCCGGCCCCGCCCTCTCCCGTGCAGCCCTCACTCGGCTGTTCTGGGGCACCCTGCTTGTTGTGCCCAGCGTCTCTAAAACACTCCAACCAGGCAGCCGCACCAGAGCGGCCAGCAGCTCCGCCCGCCACTCCCCTCCTAACCTCAGGGCCCTCTGATTATCACCTCCTCCAGGAAGCCCTCTGGTTGCACCAGCAGGATGATCCAGCTCATCCTGGTCACACTGAGAGCCCCCGTGGGCAGGCCTGCGTTGCCACCTCCTCTGGCGCAGTGAGCGCTCCCAGGGTCCCTACAGGCGGTTTGGTTTGGGGGTGATTGGGTGGGGTTCTGGGGCCCAGTGGAACAGGTTGTAGGGTGGGGGACCAGTTAGAGGACCTGGGCAGGCAAGTGCCTCTTCTGACACAGCAGTTCAGAATGTGGTCCAGGGCTGGGAACAGAGCTGCAGCCGCCGGGCATCTGGGGTGGGGAATACACGCAGGTGTTGCTGCGCTCTGAGCACCTCCAGCCGCCACCCTACCCGAGGCTGTGAGAGCTCCTGGGAGGCCGGTGCTCCTCCCCGAACGCTAGTGCTCCTTCTGCAGGAGGCAGATGCAAGAGAAGGTTGCTCCCGAGGCAAAAATGCTAGACTCGAGGGGGGGCGCGTTCCAGTTTGCAAGGAGGGCATCATGATCTGGTTTTGTCACCAAAGGCCCGTGTGGGGTCCCAGAGCAGATTCAGTCTCCTCTCCTGGAGAGACATGGAAGCCGGGGCTTGGGAAGGTGCTTGTCCCGGACCACCGGGTCCCACACGACGAAGGGAGGAATCAGTGTTCAGTGTCCTACGGGGCCGCCTGCAACCCTGGGGTCACACAAGAGGACGGGGGCTTGGGAGTTGCTGGGGGTGAGCCTCAGGTCTCAGGTGGTCCCCAGCGCCTCAGATGCTCCTTGTCCGAGCCTACGTGGCGAGGGCTGGCGGGTCCTTCCCTTTGGCCTGGGGAGGGCAGAGAGGGTTCACATGGGCCCAGCGGCCGGCTCTCACGGCATGCTGTGTGGCGGAAGTGAGGCCTGGGTCTCCGCCATAGCAGAAGCTCCTCCAAACATCACCCCTTGACGCCCCGGAGGCGGGGAGGGCACGGATGTTCGGGCGGGCCGCTCCGAGGCGAGCTTATCCCTCCTCGGCCCCCTCCCTGCAGCCTGCCCCCGCATCGCTGTCGGAGGACCTGGCGGGCTAGTTCCGCTTCGGGCCGGACCGTGAACTACATTTCCCGGCATACACTCGGGGTCCTCCGGGAACTGACCCTGCGGCGGAAGAGACCTCTGAAAAAGATTCGTCATTTCCTGTGCGCTACTGGGCCTGCGTTTTGTGGTCGTGAGCGGAGGCCTGGAGTGATGGCCGGTTTCCGGTTTCGCGCGACGGAAGCGACGCGTTTGCGGTGCGCCGCGGCGCCGAGTGCGAAGCGGAGGTTGCGATGAGCTGTGTCCTGTGTGCGCCCGCGACCGGGTGAGCTCCGCCCGCGGGGCCGAGGGCGGGAGCCGGCGGGGGGACTGGCCGAGCGCTCACTGCTGTCTCTCTTGCAGGGCCTCCCGGGCACTGAGGCTTGTGCGCTGGGCCTCCCAAAACCTGCACCCGCCGTCCAGTGGCCGGGCTCGGGCCCAGCCGGTGGCCGAGGGGGAGGAAGAGGACGACTTTAACCGGCCTATCCAGTTTTCCTCTAGCAAAGCCAACCCGTCCCACTGGACGGTAGAGCATTCGCTGGGAAGGGTGCAGCAGCGGCCCTGGTGGAAGGTGCTGCCCCTGAGTGTCTCCTGCGTCGCTCTGTTCGTCTGGTGCTTCCTGAGGCAGGAGAACAGCTCGGACGAGTGGTTGAGTGGCGTGCTGGGCGAAGAGATAGAGTCCAGTGATCGCTCCGAGGAGCCTGGAACTGGCAACGGGGCGAGAACTTAACGGGGTGCCCGCTGGGGCTAGCGGAAAAGGGACAGGCACTGCCCTTCGGCTTTGACGTCGCGTTTGACCGTTTCTGTCCGGGCTGTGCGTGCGGGCTTGGTGAATGGGGCACTTGGTTGCGCCGACGTGCCTGAAGGCAGGGCAGAGTCTCAGCAGATGGAAGCCAGCGCCAAGTACTTGATGCCCAGTGGATCCGTCCAGGAGACGTTTCAGATGCTTAGGAAAGGTTTTGCTTCCAGTGTGGCTGTTGGATTTGTGCTTTCTTTGTACAACATTTTCATGTTCCCAAAGCAATTCTGGTGACACTTGTCATCCAGTGTTACTTTCCTGGTCATTTACCTTCCGAGTCACAATAACTGGCAGAAGAGTTACACTTTTTACCTCGTATGTACTAAGGTGTGTGTAAATAACATCCATTGATGTTTTACACACTAACAAATTGCAAATAAATTTGGTAGCATGGAATCAAGACAATTCCTTTTTTTCTTTCTTTTTCTTGCTTCTTATTTAAAAAGGGCAGAGAGAGCAGGTTAGCAGGCCAACAGTCATGTTTTTCTCTTTGTCTTTTTTTTCCCTTCTTCTTTTTTCTAGAGTAGGAACTGAGGAAAGAAACCTCAGTGTAAACTGTGGAACACACTGGCCAATGACGCCAGAAATGACAAACTCTCAGCTTTCTGCAAAACGTTATTTTTAGTAAGACAACATCTTTCTGAGTGGAATAAACTAAGTAGTCAATTCTTATGACAAATTATGGACAACATTTTGTGTTAACCTAAATTGACTTCTTTTTCAAGTGAGTAACTAGGAAAAATCAGCTTGATTCTGAAATACAAGATGCATAGGGATATTATGCACTTAGCCTTCCAGTGGAAGGTTTGCCTTAGCGTGTCTGCGGTGCTGAAGTTAACTGGAGGCTTCACCAAGGCAGATGTGTGAAGCGCGTGTTTTGACCACTCTGCTGGTGTGGTAATAAACAGATAGTCAGTCCCCAGTTCACAGTGTATTCAAGTTATGACAACTCAACGTAAGACTGGCTTTTTTTTTTTTTTGGTACATCTCATAGTAACACACACTGCATACAGTGTTGCTGCTTGTAATTTGCTGATGCTATCATTCTCAGATGTTCGAAGATTGGATTTATGAGGATACTGATAATAAAAGGTAATAATAATGAAAACTAAAAAAAAAGGTATTCGACTTACGTCAGAACCAACTGACAATGGAGTTGTCAGAGTGGAACCCCGTATTAGTCGGGGGCTGCCTGTACTAACCTCTGAGGCTTTTGTGTTGAAGTGCTTCCCGTGTTTCCCACACATCCGTAAATTATGGGAAGGAAGTGGGCCAGTGGAAGCGTGTTCGTTTTTTTAAAGGTGGAGAGACCAAGGTTTGGGAAGATGGGCCATCTCAGCTCAGGTAGCATAGCTCCAGCAGGAGCAAAGAGCTAAGGTGCTCCTCTGAGACCGGGAGTAGCTGTGACTGGTTGTGGACCGTTCGGGTGAGCAGCAGTCATTCAGACCCGAGCCCCTGCTTTCCTGTCACTGTAGCTTCTACAGGGAAACAAAGCAGAACGAGTGGGAAGAATTTCTATTTGAGCTAAAAGTAACTTTCCTATTACAAAAGCAATATATATTTTATCTGGGAAACATAGACACTAAAATAAGCAAAAAGAAAAGACTAAGAAACACCGATAATCCTACCACCAAGAAAACCCCATTACCAAATCCGTTGCCATTGGGTCGATTGCAACTCATAGCGACCCTGTAGGACAGAGTAGAACTGCCCCGTCGAGTTTCCAAGGAGCAGCTGGTGGGTTTGAACTGCTGACCTTGTGGTTAGCAGCCAAGCTCTTAACCACTGTGACATCAGGGTTGCAAGGGGTAAATGGTTCATTGCTTACATTTCCTGGGGTTTTTTTTTTTTTTTTCATGCATATATAAATATTCAATTTTTAAAGAAGCACGAGTGAGTAACGATTTTGATGAGACATCACACCACATGCAACAGACCCTGAGTGCCTCCAGGGTAGGTCTCTGAGGGCTTTTCTGATTTATGACTTCACCCCAGAGGCATAGCTAGGTTTCATTGTCATAGCAACTCTGCAAAAGGAGAACCCGAGGCCTGCTGGCAACACTAGGCAGAACTTTCTACACCTGGACTTCTCAGTCCCTTTGTTATTTTCATCCTTCATTAGTTAGCTTCTAGTGTGCTGCCTTACTTCCCCAGTGGGGCTGTAGCTTGTCTACTTCCCAAGCTGCTTTGCACATTGACCTTTTCATATGAGTGTTCAATTAGCACTTAATTAGGGGACGAATGTAAGACGTTTAGGGTCACAACGAAAACTCTGGTATTACGTAAGTCTGAGCACTACCCCAACCTTTGAAGAACTTTCTTCAAAAGCACAAAAATGACCCTTTAAATCCTTACAACCTATCACACAGTTGTAGTTGACTCCAGGGAAGATGCCCAGTGGGTGAGGAGAAACAGGGTGTCTTCACACCCAGCTCTGCAGCAAAGAACCCCAAATCCCTTCATCTTGAGCTCCTAACTTCCTTTTTTGAGCTCTGGATGGTCCCGTGGACACAGATCCTGGATGGGCCCACAAATTTCTATTCTATCTATAGAACAGAACTGCTCCCATAGGGTTCCCAAGGAGCAGCTGGTGGATTCGAACTGCCACCAAACCATGGCATAGCACTGGTAATTTAAACATTTTCCCACTACTGGAATGTTCGTTTGTTGTTGTTAGGTGCCGTCCAGGTGGTTCTGACTCATAGTGACCCCATGTACAACAGAACGAGACACTGCTCGGTCCTGCACCATCCTCACAATCCTTACTATGTTTGAGCCCATTATTGCAGCCACTGTGTCAATCCATCTTGTCGAGGGTCTTCCTCTCTTCCGCTGACCCTCTACCTTACCAAGCATGATGTCCTTCACCGGGGATTGGTCCCTCCTGATAACATGTCCAAAGTATATGAGATGAAGTCTCCCCATCCTCACTTTCAAGAACATTCCAATAGTACTTCTTCCAAGTTAGATTTGTTCGTTCTTCTGGCAGTCCATGGTATATTTAATATTCTTTGCCAACACCATAATTCAAAGGCGTCAGCTCTTCGGTCTGCCTTATTTATTGTCCAGCTTTCGCATGCATATGAAGCAATTGAAAATACCATGGCTTGGGTCAGGCGCACCTTAGTCTTCAAGGTGACATCTTTGCTTTTTAACACTTTAAAGAGGGTTTTTGCAACAGATTTGCCCAATGCGATATGTCCTTTGATTTCTTGGCTTCTGCTTCCATGGGTTGTTAGGTAGTCTACACTTTTTGCTACATAACTCTGTGGCAACCATCTTTGTACATAAATCTTTGAATCTGATTTTTAAAATGTCTCTTATGACACACACAAAATAATGTACTCTAGCCCTGGGCGCCCTCTGACATGCACTTGCCTCCTCCTCCTCCAGGGCTGGCCTGCAGTGGGGCCATGTGTGTGAGGTCTGCTTTTCATAGTTCCCACCCTGGGTGCATCCCTGCCCCATGTCCCTACCCCACGCACGTGATCATCGCCCTGTTGATGACTAGTGTGTGTGCGTCTGCCCCTCGACTGAGCTTCTTGGATTCATTTTTTAAAAAACAGCTTTATTAAGATATAATTCACATACTATTCAATTCGCCCATTTAAGGTGTACCATTCCAAGATAAAATCAAAGCTTGTTCGCAGGGTGGTATAACCATCACCACCATCTCATTTTGGAACATTTCCCCACTCCCTAAAAGAAACCCGTACCTGTTAGCAGTCACGCCCCATCTCCCCCTCCCGGCTCCCCACCTCCCGGCCCTAAGCAGCTGGATTCCGTCTTCGTGGCCTCAGCACCGAGGAGATCAGTGTGTGGAGGTTGCGAGCGCGCGTGGCCTGTGCCCCGGCTCGGTGTCCGAGTTTGCAGAATGCGTGGGACAGGAAGGAACGGGGGGCGATGGCGATCATCAGGGAAGGGAGTGTGCTGGCGGGGAGGGTGAGACTGGCGGTGCTGCCGTGTCGGGGGTGTGCGTGGCCTGGTGCGCCGCGAGGCGGTGGGCGCGGGCTCGGTGGGTCCGCGCGGGACGCAGGATGCAGGGAGGCTGCGCGGGCCGCCCCCTCCCGCGCGGCGCCA